TCACCGAACCCCCCAAAACCACATTTGATAGTTTATTCTATTAATAAAGGATGTGATTAAAAAGTATAGATGAACAGGTAGATGCAGAGGTCCAGAGTACAAGTGTGGAAGGACTTGCCAGCAGGAGCTTTTATCCTCATAGAGTTGGGTTATGACATCCTTCTAATACCCTACATTGGCCCTCTTACTTAGATGCTCTCTCACCACCATAGTCAATGATTTTTTTATGGAAGGCTTTATCATATAGTGATAACAGAATATTAAGTTCCTCTCCAGCATCTCCTTCCCTGGAGGAAGTGGGGATGGAGGCTGAAAATGTCAAGTTTGTAAACAATGTTTTTGGTGACCAGTCCCATCTAAGAGTGTATAAAAAGTTGGCTCATAGAACAAAGACACTCTTACTAACCAAGGAACTCAAAGCACTCTGGACTTCTGCATCTGGAGCTGAGGCCAAGACCAAATATGAGAACAAAAGATACAACTAGCACTTTGGTTTCTCAGGAAATCATAAGGATTTTAACAGAAGTGTACCAGAAATTGAGGACAGGAGCCATATGTGTAACTTATAATTATACTATAGGATATAAATGCAATTCATCAAATAAATGATTTTATCTGAACAGGTAAAATCATATATCAATCAATCAATCAATTAATCAATCACTCTATATATCTACCTATTTATTTAGAATATAAATGCAATTCATCAAATAAATGATTTTACCTGAATGGGTAAAATCATATATCAATCAATCAATCAATCAATTAATCAATCACTCTATATATCTACCTATTTATCTATCTGTGTATTACTTTTACACTAAAAAGTGTCAATTTTCTATTTTTATAATAGACTCTTCTATAATCACACATAGGATTGGTCTTAGGAGTTATTGTATAACTGAAGGTATACTTACTGAAAAGTATTCTTATTTTGCCCCAAATAAAGCTAATAGTTACTACAGAAAAAAAAATCACAGTGGCATAGCAAGCAGAAACAGTCTGGCTTTTCTCTTTTCTCTTGTAGGTTATCTGGAACAAGGATTGCTAGTGAAAGACAAGATAAAACTCATAGAGAAGTATAAAGCAAACTTGCAGTTTAAACTTGATGTTCTGTCAGTGGTCCCAACTGATCTGCTGTATTTCAAGATGGGGTGGAACTATCCAGAAATTAGGTTAAACCGGCTACTAAGGATCTCTCGAATGTTTGAGTTCTTCCAGCGGACAGAAACAAGGACCAACTATCCGAACATCTTTAGGATTTCCAACCTCGTCATGTACATTGTCATTATTATCCACTGGAATGCTTGTGTGTACTACTCCATCTCGAAGGCTATTGGATTTGGGAATGACACATGGGTCTACCCTGATGTTAATGACCCTGAGTTTGGCCGTTTGGCTAGAAAATATGTCTATAGCCTTTATTGGTCTACACTGACTCTGACAACCATTGGTGAAACTCCACCTCCTGTGCTGGATTCTGAGTATGTCTTTGTGGTGGTTGACTTCTTAATTGGAGTTTTGATTTTTGCCACCATTGTCGGTAACATAGGTTCCATGATTTCCAATATGAATGCAGCCAGGGCAGAATTTCAAGCAAGAGTTGATGCTATCAAACAATACATGAATTTCCGAAATGTGAGTAAAGATATGGAAAAGAGGGTTATTAAATGGTTCGACTACCTGTGGACCAACAAAAAAACAGTTGATGAGAAAGAGGTCTTAAGATACCTGCCTGACAAACTAAGGGCAGAAATTGCTATCAATGTTCATTTAGACACATTGAAAAAGGTACGAATCTTTGCTGACTGTGAAGCTGGTCTGTTGGTGGAGTTGGTGTTGAAACTACAACCCCAGGTGTACAGTCCTGGAGATTACATATGCAAGAAAGGGGACATTGGGCGAGAGATGTACATCATAAAAGAAGGCAAACTTGCTGTGGTAGCCGATGATGGAATCACACAGTTTGTGGTGTTGAGTGATGGCAGCTACTTCGGTGAGATCAGCATTCTCAATATCAAAGGCAGCAAGGCTGGCAACCGCAGGACAGCCAATATTAAAAGCATTGGCTACTCAGACCTGTTCTGCCTCTCAAAAGATGACCTCATGGAAGCTCTGACGGAGTACCCAGATGCCAAAACTATGCTGGAGGAAAAAGGGAGGCAGATCTTAATGAAAGATGGTCTACTGGATGTAAACATTGCAAATCTGGGCAGTGACCCTAAAGACCTGGAAGAGAAGGTCACGAGAATGGAGGGGTCAGTCGACCTCCTGCAAACACGATTTGCCCGCATCTTGGCTGAATATGAATCGATGCAGCAGAAACTCAAGCAAAGATTAACTAAGGTGGAGAAATTTCTGAAACCACTTATTGAAACAGAATTTTCAGCTCTTGAAGAGCCTGGAGGAGAGAGTGAGACCACAGAGTCTCCACAGGACTGAAAAGCTGGACATCAGCGGAAACATGCACATCTCAGAATCTTTTTGAGCGCTTGACTAGAGACAACTGAAAACTGGAAGAAAAAAGATTCATCTGGGAAATTTTTCTAACAGAAAAATGTGTGTAGATGGGTGGCGTAAGTCCATTGTTCAGTACCACAATTAAAGAAACATCTAACCCTGGGATTTTTTTCACAATGGGTCGTGTGCAAGGACATGAACTGACTACCATGTCTGTGTCAGGATCCGTTTTTTCCCCTCACAGATGCTCCTTTTCTGTAATAATCTTTGTAAAAGTGAATTATATGTCTCACTTTCAAGCCACTTGCATTGTTGAGGTATCACATGCATTCAGGTGTAAGTGTGTACACTGTGCTTGAGATACTGTTTTATGAAGAATTAGAAGGCAATAAAGTGAAATTGATCATAAAACCAGAGTAAATGTGATTTGTTTGGTGACTAAGAAGGGAATAAGTAGCGTCTTGCAGAGCTTCTGGTCCCTTTAAGGATATTTGACTTTGTTGTAATATAAGTTTGGGTGACTGAGGGAAATTTCTTATGATAGAAGCATAATAAATCAGATTTTACTTCTGGTCCCTTTAAGGATATTTGACTTTGTTGTAATATAAGTTTGGAAGGGTGACTGAGGGAAATTTCTTATGATAGAAGCATAATAAATCAGATTTTATGATAAAATATATGTGCACATGAGTATTACAATGTTTATTGACATCACAAGATGATGTAGGAATCTTTTCATGTTACATTTAAGGAGGTCTCAGAGTATTAAGGCTTGACAACAGTGGCTGTTACCTTCCTTTTCTGTCCTTAGAACTAAGTAAGAAAAATGGACAATGCAATACTGTTGGATGACTAACCAGGGCAAGTGTCATGTCAGAAAAGGAGACCTGAATGTTATATGGACCAGTAAGAAGCTTCTTGGAAATGCAGAATAGCAAGGTTTTACCTCAGTGGCAGAGCGCTTGTTTAGTGAGTACATGGCCCTGGGTTCTACTGCTAACATTAGAGAGCAGAGGTGAGAAGAGGGAGAGGAGGAGGAGGGGGAGAAAGAGGAGGAAACAATCCTTTAACCTATACATTGTACCTTTGCAGTCCTACATTTCCCTTCCAATTTTGCTTGCCTCTTCAGGATCAGCCAGCATGTTTCTTCACAATAGAGGAAATGTCTTGGTCCTCAAGTAGGTACATCGTACATATGTAATATGTGTAACCAAGTTTCTGCCTGAAACAAGTCATCACCATTCCTCTCCTCCTTCTTCTCCTCCTCTCCATCGTCTCCATCTCCTCTTCCCTCTCCTTCTCTTTCTCCTCCTTTTCCTCTTCCTCCTCCTCCTCTCTCTACTTTTCTTCCTCCTCTTCATGTGATAGGAATGAGTGCTGAATTCCTTGCTTAGGTTAGCTCCCGAGAAGCACTGTCAACATCAGGGTGAAAGGATGCTTTGAGTCTTATCTGGGCCAGATAACTCCAAAGTTTTTATTTGCTACCTCCAGTATCAAGGTGATGCTTCCCTTGGATTGCTGATGGATGTTTGGTCAATAGCTTGAGGTAAGGAATTATACAATTCCTTTCTTATGACTCCTCTAGGGAGAGGGCTCTGCTCTCCTACAGAGTTCTGCTACAGAGACTAAGCCTGCCTCCTAGTTCAGCTATTCACAATGAACCCACCTTCTCAATTCAGATGCATAAAACAAATGCATTGAGCTTTTGGGTTGATGCTGGTGCATTTCCATCAGAGTGAACCGTCCACTCAATCCCAGCTTTTCTGTAAGTGTGTCTCTTTTTCTCACTCTCTGTTGCCCCAGATAGGTCAATCCCTAAGCAATGTAGGTCATGACAAATGACTATGGCAAATGACCTTTTAGAAGGAAGGGTTTGTTTGGGCTTATAGTTCCAGAGATATAAGAGTCCCTCAACATCACAGCAGGGGACTATGGCAGCAGTCAGGCATGTCAGCAGAACCAGCTAAAAGCCCAAACCACAAACAAGAAGCTGAGAGAGCAAACTAGGAATGGTGCCAGACTTTTGAAACCTTGAAGCCTGCTTCTAGGAACACAGATCCTCCAGCAAGGCTGTACCTCCCCAAGCTTCCTAAACTTGGTCACCAACTGGAGACCAAGTACTCAAACACCTAAGACTATGGGGGATATCTCATCCAAATACCATAGCCCCCAAACTTTGATCCATTGATGTCAGACAACAACTCATACCTTCACAAGTTACTTTATATTTTAAAAACCATAGAAAGTTTACATAAATGAAGGACAAATTTATCTGCAAATATCAAAGTTCCTTGTTAATGCATGAAAATCATGTTTACACAGAAGTCCAGAGAGGAATCACTAATGAAGCCATTACTTCTGCCACAGGTGGGGACCAAAAGTGTCAGTACCCACTATGCTAGTCTACTGTTACTTGACAGAGCTGGATTTTGTTCAGAAAGCCAAGTACAAGATGTGTCCTACTTGTCAACACTTCTTAGTTTTGTCTGCTAGGCCAAGATAAGCTTCTATGGCTACTTAAAGTCTTGGAAAATGCTATGTGATTTTTTAAATCATCATAACATATGGATTCCATGTCATGTAATATCAACATTGCCATGCTGAACTGAAGGAATCAACAAATAAAAATGTAATAATTGACTACAAATTAAATAAAAAGGGAAGAAAAATGTCATAATCCACCCACCCCCCGCCCATGTTTGCTTCAGCTTTACTGATGAGATCTTGATTTAGAAAGTATGTAATCTATGTGACTTTCAAAACAACTAAAAATAAAAGACAAAATAGTCATCATAGAAACACATGGAGAAGCCCTTACATTATGCAGCCACAACCTTTATACATATGACATCTGTTTTTTTTTTTTCTGAAAAATCTGGCAACAATAAAGATACAAAGATGGTTCAGTGGTTTAAGAGCTCTTGCTGCTCCTGCAGAGGACCTAGGTTCAATTCCTAAGACCCACATCAGGAGCTTATAACTGTAACTCTAGTACCAGGGTATCTGACACCTTCTGACCTTTGTGGGCATCTACTTGCATGTGGTGCACATAAACTTATGCAGGCATACACATATACACATAAATAAAAATAAATCTTAAAAAAACTGGCAGTAAGTACTATCTGGAAGATCTGCAAGCCATATTGAAACACAATGCTGCTGGTTTGCATTTTGAAGGGTCTAGCTAGAATTTTCAATTGTCTCATCCCACACTAATTGTTTCCTAATTATCATTGCTTAGCTTTCCTTCCTAGTCATGTTACTAATGCTTTGGTGAGAGACTACATGTGAGAGACACGCATGATATCTTGCGTGTACAAATAAAGCCTGTCTGAGTATCAGAGAATGGCACTTGCTACTAGCTAACTGTATAGGTCTGGAGGTCTGTACAGATACAGAGGGAAATGCTGAGAGATCAGAGAGGAGCAAGCCATGGCACACCTTAGTGTCTCAGCAGACAAGAACACAATTTCCTGTTTCTGCCAAGATACCTTACTTCCTGTCTGTCTGTACAGACACCCAGACCTCTATGGTTAGCTAGTGGCAAGTTCCATTCTCTGACCCTCAGACAGGCTTTATTTGTACAAGCAAGATATCACCACAGCTACATCATATCCTCAACTGAGTTAAGTGTCGTGCATGTGAAAGATGTTCAAGCCGAGTTGATGTTATGCATACACCTTTCTGTGAAATGTCAAAGCAGTGCAACAGTGTGTTTAGCCTGTGATGGTAGATGTTCCTTAAGGATGATGTGCTGGCTAGTTTTATGTGTACTTGACACAAGAAGTAGTGATCTGAGAGGAGGGAAACTTGGTTGAGAAAATGCCTTCATAAGATTGGGCTATACAAAAGCCTGTAGGGCATTTTCTTAATTAGTAATTGATGGGAGGGTCCAGTCATTGTGGGTGGTGTTATTCCTGGGCTGGTGGTCATAGGTTCTATAAGAAAGCAGGCTGAGCAAGCCATGATGAGCAAGCAAGTAAAGAGCCTCTGTGGCCTCTGCAGCAGTTCCTGCTTCTAGGTTCCTGCCCTGCTTGAGTTTCTGTCCTGACTTCCTTTGATAATGTCATTGAGAACCAGTGGTTTTCAACCTTTCCTAATGCCATGACCCTTTAATCCAGTTCCTTGTGTTCTGGTGACACCATAAAATTTATTTCCTTATTATTTCAAAACTGTAATTTTGCTACTATTATGAACTGTAATATAAATATCTGATATGCAGGATATCTGATATGCAACCCCCAAAAGGGTCACAACCCATAGGCTGAGAACCACTGCATAACGAACAGTGACATGGAAGAGTAAGCCAAATAAACCCCTTTCTCCCTAAATTTCTTTGGTCATGGTGTTTCATTACAGCAATAATAACCCTAACTAGGACATATGAGCGAGGAAAACTTTAACTATAAGTATAGGATAATGGCAAAACTATGGAGCACAAGGCAAAAATTAGTCAAATGCTTTATTGGAGAGTGATGATGCAGTCTGTGGACAGTCGAGGCTTTCGGCTTCCCTCACCTTTGGAAGAAGAAGAGAGATCAGAGGACTGAGCTTTTTTTTGTTTTTGTTTTTCAAGACAGGGTTTCTCCGTGCAGTTTTGGAGCCTGTCCTGGAACTAACTCTGGTCTGGAACTCACAGAGACCCGCCTGCCTCTGCCTCCCAAGTGCTGGGATTAAAGGCATGCACCACCAATGCCCGGCTAGGGCTGGGATTCTTAATCCAAGTCATGGTGCTGGTTTTTTGCATCATGTGATCCAGCAGAGAGTCATCCATTATTATGAAGTACTTGAAACTCCCTGTCTTAGGCTTTTATTGCTGTGAAGAGACACCATGATCACAGCAACCCTTGTAAAGGAAAACATTTAACTGGGGTTGGCACACAGTTCAGAGTAGTCCATTGACATCATGGCAGGAAGCAGGGCAGTGCACAGGTATAGTGCTGGAGAGGTAGCTGAGAGTTCTACATCCAGATTAGACCTGGCTTGAGCTTCCAAAACCTGGAAGCCTATCCCCAGTGAAACACTTCCTCCAAGAAGGCCACACCTACTCCAACAAGGCCATACCTCCTAGTTGAACCACTCCTTATGATCGTATGGGGGGCATTTTCATTCAAACCTCCATACTCCCAGACAGCCATTTTCTTAGTGTGTCAAAATATCTGGTCTTACCTTTGACAATATATAGAATATAGATATATTATAGCATATGGGAAAATGTGTATCTTAGAAAGCTAAAGCTTGTTTTCTGAAGTCAGCACAGCCTGAATAGAGTGTCTGCTATTCTAGCCACAACTGTCAATGACTTTCTGAAAATTGCATGAGTGATAATATTTGTACACAATACAATAAACCAAACACCAGTAACAAAAGGGTAGGAATAAAATCCTTAAAACTTAAAAAAAAAAATCTGGTCTTGGGCTGGAGAGATGATGGCTCAGAGATTAAGAGCATTGGCTGCTCTTCCAGAGGTCCTGAGTTCAATTCCCAACAACCACATGGTGGCTCACAATCATCTGTAATGAGATGTGGTGCTATCTTCTGTTCCATAGGCATACATGCAGGCAGAACACTGTATACATAATAAATAAATAAGTCTTTAAAAAATAAATATCTGATCTTCTGGTAGGGTTTAAAAATATTTATTTATGCTGGGTGGTGGTAGCACATGCATTTAATCCCAGCACTTGGGAGGCAGAGGTAAGTGGATTTCTGTGAGTACGAGGCCATCCTGGTCTACAGCATGAGTTCCAGGAAAGGCTCCAAAGCTACACAGAGAAGAAACCCTGTCTTGAAAATTTAAAAAAAATTTATTTATGCTGAGAAGTGCCTTTAATCCCAACACTCAGGAAGCAGGAAATTGACTGACAGTCACACTGGGCAGTATTCAGAGCATAGGAAACCTCAAAGCCTTCCCCCACAATGACATACTTCCTCCAACAAGGCCATACCTCCTAATAGGTACTCCCCTGGGGGGGCTACTTTTTTTCAACCCACCACACATTTCATGTGGATCAATACTTTTCCATGAACATACAATGCTGTCTATATAAAATTGCAAACACAGAGCACAATATGGATGTGTTTATTGTGCATAATATATAATGCACATATATGTGTACATATAATCTTAATGTTTAGTGATAGCCAAATCTGAACTGGGATCGGTAAGTAAAAAAAAAAAAAAAAAAAAAAAAACAGGAAAAAAATCTGAAGCCAATGAATATTAATGCTGAGCTTTGGCAAAGCTAGGTACAGCTCTGTGGCAATCACTCTCACTATTGGTGTAGGCAAATTATTTTGGAAAAAGAGAAAAGAGAAAAGAAAAATATTTATAAACCTACACAGCCAATTTAGCGGCCGAGTCTGGACTTTTGGCACAGGTTCAGTGTTTGTGTGTCTTTGCAGTCAGACTTGAATGCTTCCTCCACAGATGTGTTTATGGACTTCTGTCTAGTGACAAGGCAGCAGTCATCTGCATGTTTCCACTTTAGACTTGTCAAGAGTGTATGCTGGGTGAATTTGAGATGATGTTTTCTAGAATTGTATTAATGTCTGGCTTTTGACTTCCTGACTAGTTAGAAGGTGAAAGAATGCATTTTTATCGCTAACACATTCCTTTGCAGCTTCTGAAAATACCAATTTATCAGAAAATTACTCACCAGCCTGACAGTGTTGGCTCTTCAAAAAAGTTGATATTGGATATCTCGTCAGATTGCCAATTTTTCCTCTTTCCAGTTAGGCTCAGTTTTGCTTTATCTGGGTTCAGCTTCTGTCACTGTACCTGGTCTAAGACATTACTTGGGTTAGTTCTTTGGTTTGTCATAAAGATTCCTGATGTTGAGGAGCACAGGTCTGTGGTGATATGAAAGTCTGTGTGTACCATGTTCTTCCTTGGTAACTTTGATGCTTAGTCTCCAAAGAAAAATGGACAGATGAGTCCACATGGCCCTTAGACTGTGAACATCTGACCATACATGCCGATAACTCTCTAAGGTGGGAGATAACTTCCCATCTATTTTAAATGCAACAAGGAACTCTTTTATTTAAGAGATTTCTTTCTTTCTTTCTTTAATGTGAACTGATGTTTTGCCTATGTATATTCTGTGTGTGGTCATTGGAACCCCTAGAACTGGAATAACAAATAGCTGTGAGCTACCATGTGAATCCTGGGAATTGAACTGGGGTCCTCTGACCCCATTGCTTCTAACCACTGGGCCATCTCTCCAGCCCAACAAGGCACTCTTAGCTCTTTAGTTTACAAAGATACTAATATTAGTAGGTTTACATTGCATATTTTTTATTCAATTCAGTTAGACAAATGCCCAAAGAACATAATGTACATAAAATGAGCAAAGTTATGTACCACAATAAAGTAATTTGAAATTTGTTGCTATTGCATTTCTTTTGTCAGGTTAGCTAACCAGCAAGCCATGGGGATCCACTGTCTGTCCTCTCTAGGGCTGGGATTACACACATTTCCTTTGTGCCTAACATTTTAGATGTAGGTGCTGGAGATCAAACTCAGGTTTGCATATTTGCATGGTAAGCACTTTATCTACTGTGCAATTGCCCTAGCTCCTACTTCTCTTAAAAAAAAAGTAATTCAAAGTCCGTATTAAAAATGTTGAAATTGGGCCGACCGATCCGCAACTAGGTGAGTGACCCCCTGCTCTTACCCAACTCCTGTCCAAAGCGCCATTCACACAGATCTCCCCGGGCTTGTGTCTGCTTGGAGTAGCCACCCCCAGGCAGGGAGGAGATCCCTGAATCTGGGTACAAGCTACTCTTCCTTCCCTTTCCGCAACTAGGTGGGTGATCCACTGCTCTTACCCAACTCCCTTCCAAAGCCCATCCACCCCGATCTCCCCGGGCCTGCTCCTGCTTGGGGTAGACCTGCCCAGGCAGTGAGGAACTCCCAGAGCCTGGAAACACCCCATTCTTACTTCCTGTCTCCCCCCCCACACACACACACCTGATCCCTATGCAGGCCTAACTCCTTCAGAGTGAGGAGACTACCAGGAGAGGCAAGACCATCCAGAGCTGCGCACATTGAATTCCTGGCCCACACACACTACTGGGTAACAAGAGGAGATAGAGAGACACCTCTGCACTCACTGGAAAAAGATATGGGAAGAAGACAGAATAAGAACTTGCTCAACAACAGAAAGACCAATATGACACCACCAGAATCTAGGGACTCCACTCCAGCAAGATCTGAAGAGCCCAACACAGTGCATAAAGAAGAGATGGACCTCAAAAATTATCTCAGCAATATGATAGAGACCTTTAAAGAGGAAACAAGAAAATCCCTTAAAGAAATAGAAGAAAAAGCAAGCAAAAAATTACACGAAATGGAGGAAAAGACAAACCAAAAAATTCAAGAAATAAACAAATCTC